CAAAGGGGCTCGGGCTTGTTCACGTAAACACGGGACTTCAAAAAACCCCCACCAAAAAAAAGTCTGGAACGGTTAAATCGGGCGATCTTGCGGACCAGTGCAAATCGCCAAAACGAGAGATGAGGCGACCCGGGAACGCCGTCTTCAGAATATCGGTTGTGGCTCGCGCAGTGTGTGCCGTTGCTCCATCCTTTTTGGAAACCACAATGTCCCCCCAGTCCTAATTCGTTCAATTGCAGCAGAAAAAACCTGTTAACATGGCCCTATAGCGCGCACCGTACCACTGTTGTCGTTGACCAGCGGCGTCCTCGAAAAAAAATGGCCCGATGACTCCTCCAGCGTGAACAGCGCACCATGCAGTCACTTTGATTTGGGTTTTTAAGGCTCTTCGTGCATCACTCGTGGGTTTTAGGTGCCCCAGAAGCGATAGTTTTGCTTGGTTCACGTACCCGTGAGGTGGAAAATGAGCCTCATCGCTCATTATGATTTTGGTTCGAAAAAATCTCCCACTTCGTCCTCGAGATTGAGGATGGCTTGGGCGTAGGTTACACGCGTTTGGTCGGTCGACAGGCAGCAGGTGATGCACGGACTGGACTTTGTACGGGAACATGCGCAGGTCTTTGCCCAAAAATTTTCGCCTTAGGGACGACCGGCTGATGGCTAATTGCGAGGCACGGCGTCTGGTCGAGTTTCTGGCGACAGCTCGACATCCTCGGCAACAGCGGCGATATTCTCGGCAGAACGGGCGCTCCGAGGCCGGCCACTCTTGGCAGCGTCTCGTTTTGGTTCCATACTCTTCAAGGTGGTGGCAAACGGCCAGTGTTTGCGGGAGAGTCGGTGCCCGGGCGACCGGGGAATCGGCGACGGAATTCGCGCTGCGCCAACACCACAAAACGAATTGTTACGCAAAAAAATAGACACGATTGTGCCGCGTTCTTGGTGAGTGTATCGCTCCATGGCTTGTTCACTTGTATTCTAACTTGTCTAGTTTACAAATTGTTAAAACAGATTTGACATTGGCCGCCATTTGCAAAAATAAGAGCATCTTCCAATAGGGTGATTCTTTTGGCCCACCCGTTATAAGACGAAGGGGGTGTCGGTTCGAACCACGCATGTCGATGTCTTTTTGTAGGACTATCCCATGTTTTCAAGTAAACACACATTATTTGGTAGAACATTTAAACAACAACAAAACTATAAATGCAAAAAGTAAGGAACTGTGTAACTGTACTAAAAAGAACATACATTACATAATAACAGAGGGCGCTACTAAGAAACAACAAGCAAAAATATGGATTTCGAAATTAATAACATAACGTATCGCAAACCTCGTAGAACAAGCTCACTCAATGATCATCTATAGAAAGTAATACAAATAAAATATGAGGAATCATGTTCAATTCAACCATATTGAGCATCCAACATAGCTTACAGAATCAAAGTGGAGCTGACATGGTAATAAGTGGTTTGAATGAAAAAATACAAGAATTAAGCATGCAATTGCTGAGCGCAAATCAAGAGATAGACAACTTAAACAGAGAAAATATGCAACTAAAAACTGATCTACAAAAGTCACTTAAAACAATAGATGCCTACAAAAAATTATGCTCTTCCCCTCAATGTCCAACCTCGAGAACCCCCACATCAACACGTAAAAGAAAAACTTACAAGGCGCGTAAATTTATCATCTTGTGACGCTGACCACAAATGTTGTTCATTCGAATGAGAACATGCCCAAAGTCTTACAAAATAAACAAACGCAGACTACCCCTCATACTAAACTATTAGACGAGGACCGGCAATCAAAACTAACACCATGTAACAGTCTATTAAAATCACAAAATGAAAAGGAACGTATGGCAAAAAATAAAATATGTATACTTAGCACAAATAATAGAAATAAGATATTGTCTGTAGCAGAAAAGACAGACAGTCAGAATTGTGCCATTACATAGTATTCGCTTATTGAATTGATTAATTGAGAAATGCTACAATAAATTGGGTACCGGAATACTTTAAATTTTTAACTTTTTCGTTTCTCTATACAAACCCGTCTGGCCAGCGTAGTATAGTAGGCCTAAACCTCCTTTCTAAGGAGAGGCTTATGTCCAGCAGTGGACTATTAAAGGCTGTTGATGTTCTCTATACAAAGTTAATTCATGCACATTTGTCAACTCTTTGTAAACATTGTTTTTTTTTTGCATTTAATACATTTAAACCCCTCACCTCAAGCTGGATGCAAGGATGAAGTGAAAGAAAAATTGGTGGCGAATGTTAGAGAAAGAAGAGTATGCAAGTAACTTTAAGGTAAAGGTGGTAGAAAAAATGATTGAAATGAATGCAAGGCTAGATAAGTCTGTGGATGGATGGTGGAGTAAAAATGGAAAATTTATATACGACAGATAGCGAGAGAAGTACTTGGGGAAACAAAAGGAAAAGGCATTATTGAAAGAGATACATGGTGGTGGAGAGATGAGGTACAGAAAGCTCTAAAAGAAAAGAAGGATGCCTTTAAAGCGTGGAAAAATGAAAAGGTCTGTGAGAGAATGAAGGAAGTCAAAATGAATGAATATAAAGAGTGAAAGAAAAAGGCAAAAAAAGCGGTAGCGGTAGCCAGAGCTGAAGCTCAATATAACATATTTAAATACCTACATGAACCTAGAGGTCAAAAGAACTCTACCGCATTACAAAGAACAGGGAAGAAAGAGCAAAAGACCTGAAGCATGTGAGATGTATAAAAGATGAAGAGGAAGAGTGTTGGTTAAAGATGAAGATATAAAAAAGCGATGGAAAACTTACTTTGAAAAACTTATAATGAAGAGAATAAATGGAGCGAAGTGCTATAGCATGTGGATGTGAATGTCGGACTGGTGAACGAGATTAGTATAGATGAAGTTAGATTGGCAGTACGAAGTATGAAAATGGAAAAGCAGTTGGATCCGACGGTATACCAGTGGAATTTTGGGAAGCTACTGAAAGAAGAAGGATATGAGTGGCTGACTCTATTCTTCAATATGTTGTTGCTTGAAGAGGTAATCCCAAAGGAATGGTGTCAAACTCAACTCGTACCCATTTTCAAAAATAAAGGAGATGTTCAGGAATGCAACAACTATCGAGGAATAAAGCTCATGTCACATACTATGAAAGTCTGGAGAAAGTGATTGAGAGAAGAATAAGAGATGAGAGTCAGATAACCCAAAGTCAATTTGGGTTTATGCCAGGACGCGGGACAACAAGAAGCTATATTTGCAATGCGCCAACTATGTGAGAAATACAGGAGTGCGCACAAAAACTTGCATATAGTGTTTTTGGATCTCGAAAAGGCATATGATAGGGTACCCCGAGAGGCTTTGTGGTGGGCTTTGAAAGAAGAAAGAGTGCCTGTAAAGTATTTAGAATTGATTCGTGCTATGTACAGAGAGTCTAGCATCATGTAAGGTCGGTCACGGGAAACACTGATCAATTCAGTGTTCTCTGTAGGCTTGCACCCGGGATCAGCTCTGAGCCATACCTCTTCTATTGATAATGGATGCTCTGACATCGGAAATACAGGAGGAGGCACCTTGGTGCATGCTATTTGCAGATGACATTGTGTTGGTCGGTGAAGATGAGGTTGAGGCCAGAGCAGACTGGAAAAATGGCAGCAAAGGCTGGAGAATGTTGGCTTGAAAATCAGCAGAACCAAAACTGAGTACATGTTCTGCGATTTCGGCGGTCTCTCCAGTCCTGAAACCATTTCGCTGGATGGGATAGCGATAACAGTCTGCTCCAATTTCAAGTACCTCGGCTTTCCCCCTTACAATGTGATGGTGAGATTGATCGAACTGTACAGCATCGAATCAATACGGGATGGGATGAAGTGGCGGCAGGTAACGGGAACAACTTGTGACCCCAGTTTCCCCTTAACACTGAAGGGAAAAATTTATAAAACTATTATCAGACCTGCCGTCCTGTATGGCTCTGAAAGTTGGCCCATTAAGAGAACGGATGAGAGACGCCTGAATGTAGCCAAAATGCGAATGCTGAGATGGATGTGTGATGTGACTCAGATGGACAAGGTTAGGAATTAGTATATACGAGGGAGTCTGAAGTAGCGCCACTGGATGAAAAGTTAAGAAGTAATAGGTTATCTTGGTATGGACATGTCATGCGGAGGGATGAGGAAAATGTGGCGAAGAAAGTTTTAGGTATGAGAGTTGAAGGGTACAAGAGAAGAGGCAGACCGAAGAAAAGGTGGATGGACTGCGTCAGGGAGGATATGGCTAGGAAGGGAGTAAACAGTGAGATGACGCATTACAGAGTAGAATGGAAAAATCATACATACTGCGCCGACCCCAAATAAAATTGGGAAAAGGGTAGGCAGATGATGAAACCCCTTACATTATTGATTATGTATCCTGTATGGAAGTAGAAGAAGTCGTTGATATTGCAGCAATCTTCTGTACATTATGTGGCTCTTTTTCTACAATCGTGGTTGCTTGGTATGAATGACATGGGGACAACAATTGCTTTAGATTTAATATTGTTGCCCTTACATCATCCTCACAATTTGCATGATTAGAATGAATACTTAACATATTGGTCATAATCAAGGATTTAAAAAAGTTTTCCAAATGTGTATGTATCTGGATTATTATTTCTTAATTGTGAGATCTTATTTTTACCAAAAAAGTTTTCCGGGGAATCTTGGTTGAAATAACTTGTATAATAGAACGAAACTTTTTAGAAAAACAAGACAATCTTTTAACCTTAAATGGCTTTCTAAGGTTGTAATCACATTATCCAATGTGGGAACATTTTTAATTTTTTGTGTTCTGCTAGCATGATTAATATATTATTTATTTTTAATAGTTTTAATTGCACCAGCCCAATGTACTGCATGTGGTGAATTAAGTTTCACTGGGCCAATATTGTTGCCAATTAAGTTTCACTGGCCAACAATGTTGCCAATTAGACAATCCTAATTGTAAATATCAACAATGTCTTGCCACTTCACCAGTTTACCAACTCATGTCTTTGTTCAGTAAATTATTTCTCATACCCTTCAGTAGGTGCGGTGGATCATACACAATGCTCAATTTATTTCCATCAATAGAAATAGTGCCATCTGAAACAAAAAGGATACTGAAATATAATAATTGTAGACATACTAGAATCCAAAGTTCTGATCGGGGATGACCTGGATAAGTCTGAATTGAATGAGGTAGAAAAAGTTCTTGAGAATGTCCTCTCTAAATAGCCTCTCTAAATAGCCTCATTGGGCAATCTCGATAAAAATAAAGATCTTGGCAACTATAACTCGTTAAGATCCCGTTCTATAAAGGTGTATTTGACAAACCAAACAACTAAATAACATCCTTCAAATTAAAAATCGCAATTGACATTAAAAAATCGTTAAAAAATTAATAGACGAAAATTTATAAACAAAATATACATATACATACCACATATTAGACCATTTCTTAAATGGTGTCGTTTAGTTGTTGTTTGTTGTTGTCATGCCCTGGTCACATATCAAAGCTAATGGTTCAAGACCAGTTCTTAAAACAGCTCGTATGACATCTTTTAAAATGCTAACCAAAGAAAGTGTTGGCATTGTACCTTCCACAAAAATAATAAGCGATTGGTTGTCGCCATGATCCACTAATACCTCTTAACATAACAACAAGAGCATGATTTGGGAGAGTTGCTATTTGGGACAAATCCATGTATAATATCTTCAGATGAAATAAAATGTAGTCCACTTGATAACTGAACCTCATCAAATATTATATTGTATAATTTTTTTGAAGAACTCCATTCAGAGATCTTGTGTTTTAAAGCACTGAACAATTCCTTGTTAAAGCCGCAACTCATGGAATCCTTCAAAGAACTCTATTTAGAGTTCTTTTATATAGTGTTAGCGCCAACTGGCGGTGGCCATAGAATCTATTGGCGCCAATACATATGAGCGGGTGCGCAGATATCTTCAGCGAAACGCTGCCTGAAACTGTATGCTGAGTACGTTACGGCTGCCGGACAGGTGGGAAAAAGGATATGGGAAAGCACGCCTACCTTGATGGTCTTGAGATGCTGGTCGAGCTGCTGTCCAGACCTGGCGGGCTGGTCTCTCGCGGTTTCGGTGTGGCTTGTGAAAACAAAACAGCGGCGCGCTGCGCGGTATAAAGTCACTAGCTTGCCGGCAAGGCACGATTTAACACCCACGGACAATGCGGTAGCGTGATCCGAAGACACTTGAACGCGGCGCGTGTTATTCCAATATTTTTGGTTTTTAATGTTTATATGAGATGCGGTAGCGGAGAGAAAAAAAAACGTTGCGGTGTGTCTCGCGTCTCGAACGTCCCGAACTGTTTTTCTTTTAGCGGCGTGCGTGGCGGGATGTCGATATATGATAAGGGATTGATAGGTGCCGACAGCCTCACCTAGCGGGAAATTTTTAAACTAAAACTTAAAGAGGTTCCTGTCTCAAATGGACAGGTGGGCGTTACCAATTAGGTAAACAGAAGAGTTTGTCCAGCAGACTATAGCCTTTTGACTCGTTTATTACAGAGCCAGACACAATAACTTTTGCTCCAAAGTGTAACGTCTGCTTTGTTTCTTTATGCCTATAGCACTCAATTGGGCTTTGATATAAATTGCCTCTGCATAAAGCTAAACTTGTCAACCACTTTTTGAAAAGTCTTAGTCTCTTTTAAAAAGCAGTAGCATCTTCAATGTTCTTTTCTATTGTCACCTCCAAATAATCTTCTTGATTTAATAATCTGTTTAAACATTTTTTGTGCACACTTACACTGCTTGTTAGACGCATCCTTTTTTATTTTACACCTGAAACTTAAAGGATAAAGAGTTATTTTTGTCTAAAAATTTTCAGTACTGCTTTTTAGACTATCTCGTAAGCTTTAAAAAGCTATTTTTAAACTAGTCAATAATACATTTTTTTTATTATGATATGGCTTTGGAAAAAACCACATAGGGTTTCAGTTGTACTCTTGAATGTGTATCACATATACAGTTATGTAGTTATTTGTACAAATTTATTTTACTGAATAGATAACAAAGCATGTGATTCTAAAAATATGTAAATTTATCTTACCTCTAGTTGTAATATTTTCCTTCGATGTTGAGGGCTTCAATTTGATCAACTGAGCCCCCAAACCCTTTTATTTGTTTCAAATTTAGGAACTTTTTTTTTTGGGTGTGCACAAGTCGTATTCATTTAGGACCCCTTACAATAATTGTGATCATGTAGTGTTGATTTGGCATATGTGTGATCACTTTCAACTGAAATTTAAAACAGCGAGGTATATTACAAAATCATTCTGTAACATAACTAGAGCTCTTGGTAATTGTAAACTACTTTTACACACAAACTTTAAACACATCATAATAATTTAAATACAATAATCAATTATTTTAACCATTCACTAACCTTCTTATTCACAGGATTAGTTTTTCTAAGTATTCCTGTTGTTATTCTTCTTTAGACATTAATGTAGGGCAAGCATTATATAGCCTTTTATTTCCAATAAGAAACTTTTGTTCAAAGTGCCTATTACAAATTTTTCTTTGTATCAATTGTTGCGGAGTTTGCTTGCTTGACCCTTTTTGATAATGAGGTTGCGACTTGTTAAGCCATATTTGCTGTAATGTTTTATTTTGAGGGAATTTAAACAAAGTACCCTCGTACGAGGGGTGATCAAAAAGTATGATAATCGAGTATTTCTAGAACGCACAAAAACCCAAATTATTTTTTTTCTGCTTGCTTTTATATTTCCCCTACTTCAGCTTCAAAAAAATGGGATAAATAGGACACCATTACCGGGAGATACATTCATTTGAATACGAACTGTCGAAGAGAAAACATCAAAATGGAGAAAAATGAAATAAAGAGCTGTCATCAAGTACCTCTGCCTGAAAAAAATGTCTACCAAAGACATACACAGCGACTTAGAGGAAACATGTGGGGAGTCTGCTCCTCCATATTCCACAGTCGCACGCTGGGCAAAGGAATTTAAGCTGGGCAGAACCTCCACTGAAGATGAACATCGCGAGGACGCCCTTCCACGTCCCTTACTGGAGAAAACGTCAAAAAAGTGGAAGATATCGTTTTGGCCGATCGAAGGGTGACCGTAAGGCATGTAGCTGAGGTCACGGGGATCCCCTATGGCAGCGTTCAAAAAATCATTGTCAACAAAATGCATATGAAAAAGGTCTCTGCGTGTTGGGTACCGAGAAGGGTTAACCGACGAGCAAAAAAAGAAACGAGTCGACATTTCGAGGTGAATCTTAAAAAGTTCCAGGCCGATAAAGATTTTTTTTTTTGTCGCGTTTGTGACCAGGGGACGAGACCGGGGATCCACCACTTTGATCCCGAAACCAAACAACAATAAATGATTTGGAAACGAGCTTCCTCACCAACGCCGAAGAAATTCAAAGTGTAAAGTTTAAAGGGGGAAAAGGGTTTTATGGCGTCTGTTTTCTGGGGATGCAGAAGGAATATTATGGTGGAAAATTTGGAAAAGGGGGCCACTATAACAGCCTTCTTACTACGCAGGCCAAAATAAGAAGATTGCGAGAAGCTATTAAGTCAAAAAGACGCGGTAAACTGCGCGCTGGAGTGCTGTTTCACCAAGACAACCCCCCGACTCACAAAGCCCGCAGTTGCGATGGCTTGCCATTGAAGAAACGGGGTTCCAACTGCTCGAAACCCTCCCTATTCCCCCAGATCTAGCTCCCAGTGACTTCTACCTCTTTCCTCGGCTCAAAGAACACCTCCGGGGCAACAAATTTGAGGGACAATAGTGAAGTGATGGCCGCAGTAGAAGGCATTTTGGGAGGGTCAAGACAAAGAATTTTTTTCTAAGGGAATACATGGGGCTTAGAAAAAAGATACACTAAATGTATTAACTTGCAAGGAGACTATGTTGAAAAATAAAATATTTTTTTTTATTAATAGTTCTGTTTCATATTAATTATCATTACTTATTGATCACCCTCGTATTCGTCTTCTGACACGAAGGTATACAGCATGAAATAAACGGCATTATTGAAATATTCTATAGAACAAATGCACTTATTTTAAGTAAAACACAGTTTTTTAAAAACTGAAGAATAAGCTACGGGGAAAATTTAATCACGCAAAACTTAACTCCATCAACTTCAAAAATGTAACGGACTTTGACTTATGTATTTGTGACATATTCACATGACAGTTCTGTCATCGGCCCATACTAGCGCCCTCTGGTGGGGTTACGTTATGAATGCCTAAGCTCCTAGAGTCAAAAGCCAAGTATGAAGTGTCAACGCCGTGGTTTGTCACTTGGATTTCAGCCCGTGTGAGATGAGAGGGCGAGAGATTGTAATTTTTTTTATTAGTAATCCATATTTATTTGCTGTAATCGAAGGCATAAATTTATCTTTTTAAAGTTTGGGGCCCGTCTCGTTAATGACACGAGTTATTTGTTGGAATTGATATTTTCATTGTAAAGGTTAAGTTTGTTAAGCCCACGTGGTTCATACTTGGCTTATGGAGAATAGTTGTTTTAAATCTTTGTCTATTTGGTTACAGGGAAAATTAATTATAATGCCGCTGCTTTGTTTGTGAAACGTTCTGGAACCCTGGTGAGTAAATTATTGGATCTTACCAGATTTAGGATTCATCTTTTTAGATAGGCAAATAACCTAAATTTTCATTGTTTCAGATGAAACAGGGTTTGTTTTTTTTACCTTTTCTTTTTTTACACCTTATTCTATTTATACCTTATTTTCTTTACCTTACTTCGATTTTACTTAACCCCTTGTTCAATTCTCTTATTGGGTTGTAATGTCATTGCGTACGTTGGATTTGCCTCACTCCGGCGGACCCAGATTTATTGCTGCGAGCGTACTATAATGGTAGAAAAAGCGTTTAGCTGCAGTCCATTTCAGAAACCGGAAAATTACCCCGCCACTAAACACGTGGGAGCTGGATGAGATTAATAGAAAAATTTTAATTAGCCCTAATTTTTTTTTTATTTTCGGAAAAACTGGGGAA